GCGTTTATGGAGGTATAGACGTAAATATTGCGTAAATCCGTCAACAATAATAACAGATTGCTTATTTACACATATTTACACACAAATAACTATGCGAAATCAGTGACTGGTGGAGCGTACGCCCGGAGAGCGGAAGGTCAAGGGTTCGATCCCCGGTCGCGTCATACGTGGGGTATTCATGTTAAACTGCTGGCATGGTATCTCAATGGGCTAGAACTATAAAATCGGCATTAGTCCGTACAAGTACAAGCAGCCTCTCTCTCTCTCTCTCTCTGTCTCTCTCTCTCTCTCTCAATCAAATGCCAATGAATCACTTCATTTGTATCACTCAATCTATTTAAACAAGAATATACTTCATGCATACACCTCCGCGTGTCACTGTGACGTCATTATGTTTCAGGTACGGACTGTGTCGCCGGGTGTCAGATGTCCCGTCGTGTCAGGATGACGAGGTTGCGTCACGTACTGTCATCGAGGCAGAGAACTTTGACAAGAAAAACTACACTGAGGTAAATACACTCCTTTGTAAATATAAAACCCCGTTCAATGTAACTTCAAAATCAGCTGGAATAAAAGGGACCGAACTCAACTCAAACTACCACCATCTTGATTTGTCAAACCTTTTATAGTGTTGGGCTTTCATAATTTTAGCTGAGGGCAACTCCAGCCTGCCTTTCCAAAACGAAAGTGCAAATTGCGCGATACGCCTCTCGGTGTGTTTGGAGATTGTGGCCGTTGTGTGTGGTGTGTGTGTGTGTGTGTGTGTGTGTGTGTGTGTGTGTGTGTGTGTGTGTGTGTGTGTGTGTGTGTGTGTGTGTGTGTGTGTGTGTGAGGGGGGGGGGGGGGGGGGGGGGGCGATTATAAGACTATTTTGGCTTATCAATGACAATTAGACATCACTCTAAACTGACGGTTTTTAAATCGCTGCGAAAAGGATATTTTAATACCTGAGACAAATCCGTTTCCCCCCCAGAATACGGAGATTGTTGATATCGACAGACATTGTCAAAAAGTTGCTTCGTGTCTTCATTTTGGACCAAACCCAAAAACCAGAAACTTAAAAGTGTACCTTTTTTGGTCTAAACAAGTGTGAAATGAGTTCGCATCGCCAGTCAAGTATGGTCACATGGCAAACCATAGAAGTTTGATGTTGAATGTGGGTTGGAAATATCAATCAGTAAACTGTTAGTTTTTCGTCACTTTGGTGGCACGCAGGTTTTAGTGGGTTCGAATCCCGGTTCGCCCCGATTATGTTTCTAGGTTTGTCAGCACCATACCCGTGCTCGTGGGTTTCACCGAAGTGGTAAACGTCTGAGACCTGCATCAATTCGGGCTTTCCTCCAACATTAAGCTGACTCGCCATGATATAACTGGTATACTATGAAAGCGGTGTTAAACCCAACTCACTCACTCACTCACAGCAGAAAAGCAAATGTAAGTTTCACCTCTCTTGGCAACGGTACAAGCAGTACTGCAATCGGATTATCGATTATTGCATCCCGAAGCGACATATATAACCTGTCGGTTGACCTTACAAAAACTACAGGTTTCCTGCCACCCACAAACCAACAAATCTCACTAGACAGATAACAAGCCTCTCGAGGCTGTAGCTACCGTCGCGTTGATGAAGTTACTCGACACACACATCAAGAGATAGACGCGTGCATGATGAGAGGCCTTAGAGAAGCAACATATTTATAGAAGACACATTCAGTGATAAAAGAGTCAGGACAGATTGAGTGAGTAATTTGGGCTTTAGTACTCCTTCAAATAGTAGTTTGGACATATATCACAGCACGTCAGCTTTATGGGAGAGAAAAGCCAATATGGCATAGGTGATAGACGTGTACCACTTCAGTGAAACCCAGGAGTGTAGGGTGTGCTGATGACAGACTATGGATTATAGCTGGCGTCATCGGGGATTTGAACCCACGGTCCAAAAGTTTCAGCGGAGAGATTCAGATGAGGGCCCCCCCGTGTGAGTGAGTGAGTGAGTGTGTGAGTGAGTGAGTCCGTTTGTGAGTGAGTGAGTGAGTGTGTGAGTGAGTCCGTTTATGAGTGAGTGAGTGAGTGTGTGAGTGAGTGAGTGAGTGAGTGTGTGAGTGAGTGAGTGAGTGAGTGAGTGAGTGAGTGAGTGAGTGAGTGAGTCCGTGAGTGTGTGAGTGAGTGAGTGAGTGAGTGTGTGAGTGAGTGAGTGAGTGAGTGAGTGAGTGAGTGAGTGAGTGAGTGTGTGAGTGAGTCCGTGTGTGAGTGAGTGAGTGAGTGAGTGAGTCCGTTTGTGAGTGAGTGAGTGAGTGAGTGAGTGTGTGAGTGAGTGAGTGAGTGAGTGAGTGAGTGAGTCCGTGAGTGAGTGAGTGAGTGAGTGAGTGTGTGAGTGAGTGTGTGAGTGTGAGTGTGAGTGTGAGTGTGAGTGTGAGTGTGAGTGTGAGTGAGTGAGTGAGTGTGTGTGTGTGTGAGTGAGTGAGTGAGTGAGTGTGTGTGTGTGTGTGAGTGAGTGAGTGAGTGAGTGAGTGAGTGTGTGTGAGTGAGTGAGTGAGTGAGTGAGTGAGTGAGTGTGTGTGAGTGAGTGAGTGAGTGAGTGTGTGAGTGAGTGAGTGAGTGAGTGAGTGAGTGATTTGGGTCCGCGGCTTCAACAAATAACCCCGGGACAGTGAACATAAGGGGTCCACGTCGATGCCTGAACAAAATTATGATTTGTTGTTTTTCTCAATTGAAAATTGAGACTTTATCTTATCCTTACCAACTGTTTTATCCGCATCACATCGCTAACACTTAAAGACAGGTGACGTTTGAAAAACTCCCCAATGACAGTATAACATCAGCGGTATCAATTAATGCCTTCGGTGATGAAACATTTAGGAGGCTGGGTTGGGATAAACGGTTTACTTACACCTGTCCTTCACAAATGGCGTGTTAGACCTCTTGGTTAAGCTATTCATTTACTGGGGGGAAAAAGAATGTGTGACAAAAACCAAAAAAACCTATATATATGTCTGGACATTTCAAATGGCTTGCCATATCTCTAAGGACTTGGCAGACATCTTTCTTAAGATTCAATGCATTCGTCACCACTCGCCCCTTTCCGTAACCTGCAAGAAGGCTTGTCCCGGAATAACACGAGTTGGTCACGAATGGATACAATGTTGACGTGTAGGACACCGATCCAAAATCAGGCGCTTGTATTTTATGGAAATGTTTATTTTTTTATCTAAATATAGTTTTTTTGTATTTTCCGAAGAAATTTCCTTCAAACAGTATGTTGATTTTGAACATAATCACGGAGAGGGCAATTTGAAAGGTGTTAGAAAATAGTCCTGGCGCACTGATTTGAACATGTTATCAGTAGTGCTCTGGTTTGGATATCATTACGCAGGTATTACTCTCACTGTCAGTGCTCCAGGTCAGCGCGTGCGGGACGGTAACTGCGTTGGTGATTTATCAATCTTAGAAGTGTAAGGAGCATTAAGGCGTGATGTCAACAGAAAGGTATTATTAGGTCTCACGTAATGAACACCGTTGCTCTTGAGGATGTAGACAAAGACGAGGATAATGAGAGAAAGTGCAGATGTATTCCAAACACTCGTGCTAATTATGTTTGCCTGGTGGTTACGGGTTTCAGAGTGAGTGAGTGCGTGCATGCGTGCGTGCGTGCGTGCGTGCGTGCGTGCGTGAGTGAGTGAGTGAGTAAGTTGGGCTTTTGCCACTTATCTTGGTATCATAGGGTACCCTCCTTCACCTTGATTCGGACGATCGGGTAGCCCAGTGGTTTAAGCGTTCGCTCGTCACGCCGAAGACCCGGGTTCGATTCCCGACATGGGTACAATGTGTGAAGCTAATTTCTGGTGTCCCCCGCCGTGATATTGCTGGAATAATGCTAAAAGCGGCGTAAAACCATACTCACTCCTTCACCTTGACTCACGTCGCATCTTCTAGTGACCTCACTCAGTGGTCGAGTTCGGGAAGATGGGAAAGGAAAGATACGCAGGAAGATGGAAAATTAGCCAGAGATAATCTTAACATACACGACACCCAGCGTTGTCCGAGATTGTTGTCTGTAGTCGTCTACAACAGTGTTGAAGGTTTTCATTAAATACCTGGCGGTTTCTTTTAACTTGCGATCAGCTGATCGTAACCGGAAAGATGGGAAAGGAAAGATACGCAGGAAGATGGAAAATTAGCCAGAGATAATCTTAACATACACGACACCCAGCGTTGTCCGAGATTGTTGTCTGTAGTCGTCTACAACAGTGTTGAAGGTTTTCATTAAATACCTGGCGGTTTCTTTTAACCTGTAAAAACCTTTAGACATAGATTATCTTCAATTTCACGTTCATATTTCATAATGTTTTGAGACGTTTTGTGTATGTTTTACCTTAATAAAACCATCGTTCAAAATGTTTTGTAATGAGAAATTAATGTGACAAAATTAGAGAATCCCATTTAGTGTCTTCTGACCAAATTCAATTACGGCAAATCAATACAGATTGTTAAAAAACACCTAAAAATCCATAAACCAAAATCTTATGAATGTCATTACCTGAATAATGGTTTTCTTTTCAACCCAGCACCTGCGGACGCCTTTATTAATGGTTCTTCTCGTCTTCAGGTCCAGTGCCGATGTATTTCTGGTATTCTGCAAGGCGAGGCTTACGTGTTGGTCGACTATGAAAACTTCGGAGTTGACAAGGGCAAGGTCGGCGTGCATTCCCGGATGTGCGATAGTGAGTGATCAAACCCACATATGTTTATGGCCCCAAAGCAACGATTTGCGTGTGTCAAAAACGAGGTGTGCGGGATTTTATAAGCAGAATATTCCTGTACACCATGAAACCAAACGTTCACCTCGGAAAATCCCGTACACCCCGCTGACACATATGTTACAGATTTTATCATTACAAGTTCACTAGGGGCGCGTTACAAGCCACGAATCGCTTTGAGAAAGCAAATTCATCGCTCAATCCGGGGTCTGCAACAGTTCGACGCGCTTGCGCACTCTTCCAAAATGGCGGCACAACTACCGCTTGGTTGCCTTGACGTTTGTTTGTTTGTTTAACGCCGCACTCAGCAATCTTCCAGCTATATGACGGCGGTTTGTAAATAATCGAGTATGGACCAGACAATCCAGTGATTGACATCATGAGCGTCTATCCACGTAATTGGGATACGATGACATGCATCAACCATGTCAGCGAGTCTGACCATCCGCGTAATGAAGAACGTAATAGATGAGGCTCGATGACGAGCTGATGAAATTTATGACTACTTTGAAGATGTGGAGCAGACTGGGGATGATGGGGTGTTAGCTGCCTTAGCTCATTTTCTCGTTGATCCAGGCAAGAATTCCTTGTTCCGCTGTCAAAGTAAGCCGCCATTTTGGTTTGAGAACGAAGCGACCTCAGTCAGCGATTGTTTCGCTTGCAAGCGGCTAAAAGTTAGCGCACTGTTGTAAGGCGAATCGCTGAACATCTCTTACAAGCGATTGGCGCTTTGCAACGCACCCTAGTTTAGACATTTTTCAGTGAAATTATTCGTGACAATTAGATTATTAGTGTGGTGACTCGCGGTGCGAATAGGGTAAACTATGACGTGACAAGCAAGTGACGTCACATTGAACAATTATGACGTTATGACATCCGTACACACTTGCCATCCGACCCGTATGGGTGTCTATATAAGATAGCACCTGGCCAGTCAGAGAGCTAGATTCTTTTATTATATACTTAAGTGTTAAAGACTGAGTTTTCCGAAGTTCAGAAGAGGGATATTTTCATTACAGTGAAGATAACACTTGATATTTAACTGCTGTGAACATAACTCTTTGACGGAACAATTGTCATGCAAGAGTGACCTCCCCTCAAATTGTCTCCCTTTATCGTAAGTGTCTGGCCCGTTCACAATTTACTGTTAACTTCCTTTTTGTGTTAGTTCCACATTGACAAGGCAAAATAATGACAGATGGTCATTTACGGAGCTATTATCGCTTCATGGCGTTTGTTATTCTCTTGAAAATGTTCCGTTATAAACTATACATTTCTCATTTAACTCGTCATTCGAGACCGTTCGTTTCGCAAAGCGCCATATTTTGTTACCTGACCAGCGCGTATTCTTTCGCTTCCAACAGCGGTCTCGAAGTTTTTCAAAAATATTTTTTGTTAAAGTTGATTTTGAATATAATCATGTCTACACGTATGATGCAGAATTTTCGCGGCCCTAAATATTTTTTGTTACTTTTGTTTATATCTTTTATGATTTTTCAAACACGAAATTACGTTTTTAGTCGCAAATACAAGGGAAGGTGACCCGTCCCTGTGTATTAGGTAGGGAGAATTTACGTTTCAAGGTTTTACATTTGTAATGAAATAATTTAATTTTCCAGTAGACAACAACAAAAAAAGTAATAAATAGGATATTATATGTGTCTCGTGAAATATCACGTTTCTCTCATCTCGTGACGGAGGAAAAGGAGATACATACATTCACTCGTGTAAATATCTCTTTCCCCAAACCCATCTTGGATGAGGAAGGTCTGTAAGGAACTACCGGGGAGTAGTCGTCTTATACGTCGTATGTCGCTGTGCAGAGTTGCGTCCCTTGGGCACGCCAGAAACCTGTGATAGTGGGTTCGAATCCTGGTTCGCCCCGATTATGTTTCTAGTTTTGTCAGCATCCATACGTGTTCGTCGGTTTCACCAAAGTGATGAACGTTTGACCCCTGCATCACTTCGGGCTTTCCTCCCACCTTAAACTGACACGTCGTGATGTAACTGGAATACGGTTAAAGCGGCGTTAAACTCAACTCACACAATCACTACTTTAGTGGCCTCATTGCATCACATTGATGGACATCAAATCACACGACTGTGTGACCCAGGCATACCAATAATGTCACAAATATCCGGGTTTTCTGGACATGAGATGCAATAGAGCCATCTGATGTGTTTGAGACGTAATTGTATAACCGTGGGGCTTGACACAGTCGTTGTCTCCCGACGGGGCCGTATGCGAAGTTGTAGATGTCGACGGTAAAGGTCATCTGTGAGGGAGATACGTGTGTTGTTATTAGTATGCAGTGTCACAAGAACCAGCTTCATCAACGTGTAACACGGGATAATACTAGATGAAGTCCATAAAAAACACATATGTACAGTCTTTCTCAAACGAAAGTTCCCATATACTGTTTATATTTTTTGTTTATTTGTTGTTTAACGCCTCACTCAGCAATATTCCAGCTATATGACGGCGGTCTATAAATGATCGAGTCTGGACCAGACAATCCAGTGATTGACATCATGAGCATCGATCCACGCAATTTGCATACGATGACATGTATCAACCAAGTCAGCGAACCTGACCACCCGATTCCGTTAGTCGCCTCTTACGACAAGCATAGTCGCATGGTTTGCTGAACACCTATTCTACCCCGGACCGGTAGAGAGGTGTTAGTGCAACGATAAAGCCGTTATAGTACTGCGATAGTGTGAGAGTACTGCGATAGTTGTCGTGATAGTACTGCGATAGTTGTGATAGTACTGCGGTAGTGTCGTGATAGTACTGCCTACTGCGATGGTGTGATAGTACTGCGATAGGTGTCGTGATAGTACTGCGATAGTGTCGTCACTACGACTTAGGATTAGTAAGTATGTGATAATGCGGTGACTGCTTTGAATAACTCGCTCACTCTATCTCGGAATCTCACGAAAGGGACAATATGTCTTCTTGCGATACTCAGATATGTTCTTTTTTCAGCTTAAGCGGAACATCGTACCAATAGTATATGTGTCTTTCTCTGTATGGCAGGTGATGTCCCGATGCCAGAAGGCGAGCATGACGTGGCTGAAATGAGAGACTATAAGAGAGGACTTGATCATGGACTAAGCAGCTTCTATAAGCGAGCCATCCACAGCGGCATGAGCAGTTTCTATAAGCGCGGAATCGACAACGGCGTGAGCAGCTTCTATAAGCGTGGAATCAACAACGGCATGAGTAGCTTCTACAAGCGGGACCGTGGAATGAGCAGTTTCTACAAGCGAGCCAGAGAAAACGGATTGAGCAGCTTTTACAAACGAGCCCCCATGCGACACGTGAGCAATTTCTACAAAAGGGATTTAGACCACGTAAGCAGTTTCTATAAGCGAGCACAAGGTGATGGGCAAAGCAGCTTCTACAAGCGGGGAGTAAATGAAGGAATGAGTAGTTTCTACAAAAGAGGTGTCAATGGTGACCTGAGCAGCTTTTACAAACGTGCCCCTGGGAGTGACCTCAGCAGTTTCTATAAGCGTGCTCCTGGAGGTGACGTCAGCAGTTTCTATAAGCGTGCTCCAGGAGGTGACCTCAGCAGTTTCTATAAGCGTGCCCCTGGAGGTGACGTCAGCAGTTTCTATAAGCGTGCTCCAGGAGGTGACGTCAGCAGTTTCTATAAGCGTGCTCCAGGAGGTGACGTCAGCAGTTTCTATAAGCGTGCTCCTGGAAGTGACGTCAGCAGTTTCTATAAGCGTGCTCCAGGAGGTGACGTCAGCAGTTTCTATAAGCGTGCTCCTGGAAATGACCTCAGCAGTTTCTATAAGCGTGCTCCTGGAAGTGACCTCAGCAGTTTCTATAAGCGTGCTCCTGGAAATGACCTCAGCAGTTTCTATAAGCGTGCTCCTGGTGCCGACGTCAGCAGTTTCTATAAGCGTGCTCCTGGTGCCGACGTAAGCAGTTTCTATAAGCGTGCTCAAGGAGGTGACCTCAGCAGTTTCTATAAGCGTGCACGGGATAATGGAATGAGCAGTTTTTACAAGCGTGGTAGGGATGATGTCAGTGGCTTCTATAAGCGGTCTCCTGAAAATGATCTCAGCAGCTTCTACAAACGCGCAGCAGGAGGTGACCTTAGCAGCTTCTATAAGCGGTCTGCTGGAGATGACCTAAGCAGTTTCTATAAACGTGCCCCCGGAGACGATCTCAGCAGCTTCTATAAGCGTGGCTTTCAGGACAGCAGTTCTTTCTACAAGCGTTCTCGCGGAGACGGACTAAGCAATTTCTACAAGAGAGCACGCGACGACGTGAGTGGATTCTATAAACGGGGACTCAGTAATGGCCTAAGCAGCTTCTACAAGCGAAGCGTTAACGACGGAGTAAGCAGTTTCTACAAGCGCGGACTAAGCGATGTGAACAGCTTCTACAAACGGGGCGACGACAACAACCTGAGCAGTTTCTACAAGAGAAATGGGGATAATCTCAGCAGTTTTTACAAACGCGCACGAAATGATTTAATGGGCTTCTACAAGCGCAGCGGGGACGACAGCAACCTCAGCAGCTTTTACAAGAGAGCACGTGACGAATTATCTGGTTTCTACAAACGTGGCCTTAATGACGTCAGCGGATTCTACAAGCGGAGTCCAGCAGAGCTTAGCTCCTTCTACAAGAGGATGGCAAATGGCCTCAGCCGCTTCTACAAGAGGTCAAATGAAGATCTAAGCGGATTCTACAAACGGGACACGGACGTCAGAGAAGACAACGAACTTGAAAATGTGGCTGACAAACGATCACGTGACGACGTGAGTGGTTTCTATAAGAGAGGACTTAGTAATGTCAGTAACTTTTATAAGCGAGACGAAAGCGAGGCTTTATGACGTTACCTAGGATAGGTCCACGTGACCCGAGGTACAAGCTCTGAACTGCAAACAGGCACAGAGTTGAGGAGTGGAATTTTGCAATGTGTTCTCTGGATTAAAAACATGGAAACTATTTATTCTATCAGTGTTATATTACTATTTTCAGAAGATACTTCTTACAAAATATGACACTTGTTACGGCAACACTAATGCGAAACTTGTGAAAATCATGAGCATAATAATATCATATTTTAACATACCATAATAAACAAACCAGCTGTGAAATATACCTGAATGCACTGTGATACAAATTTGTGTGATAGTTTTGAAATAGTAAATTAAGTCAACATTGTATTATGAAGATGAGTTTTTATGTTTGAATACTAATTCCAAGAATCATTGACACCATGGAGGTTTTTGCTTAGTTTTTGAGTTCGTGACCCCTACGTGACCTCAATACAAGACGTTTGAACGTCTTCAAGGGAGATAATCGCGTTTATAGCTTGAGACCGTTAAGCAGCAAGGCATTAGTTTAACAGACAGAATCGCATGTGCACTGGCGTTCATGGGTTTCTTGTGAAGGGGCTAACAATTAGTCCCTAATAAAGAAGCAGACGGATGTTATATCACAAAATCAATGGTTAATAAAACGGACTCAATGATGTATGTGAAACATTAACGCCCGATTACCCGGCTGGCTAATCCACTGTTTCAAAGTACGAGCGCTGTGTGTGTGCTCCAGTAGGCCGTACTAATGGATAAAGATTCTCTGATTGTACAATGATTATACGACAAGGATAATAAAAAAGCAAGGTCAGATGTGTTATGGATTGGTGGTGTCTGTTGTAACCGACTAAAGATTGCTCACAGTTCACTGAGTGTAATAATCGGAACCTAACTTTATCGGAAGTCATCGGTATTGGTTTTTTTACAAAACTGAGGCAGCGATATAATTACATATCAGTCATGGGGACGTGGAGCTGGGTTCTTATTTTTTTCATTTTCTGTTGTAACTCGTTCAATTTCATTCTTGACCAATTCGTGTTATTCCGGGACAAGCCGAATAGCGACTCGTGCCCCTCTCGTGGCCATTCTTGCGACCGGGTTCCGCCTTAGCGCAAACGGGCATACCTAAAACAATTGTCAACTCGTTAGTAATGCTTCACATATATTTCCCCATATATTATATATATTTCAGATGCAATTTAAAGCACATCGGGACATACGGAATTATACACTCAGTATGATTGAACACATTTAACTGTATCTTGGGTATATTTTTAGATGCAAGATATATGTAAAATCAAAAATTATTCCTGAGTGATTCTTTGACGAAGAACGTGAAATCATACGCGCATTCTGATTGGTTTGTCGTATTTTCGCACATAACATTCATCGATAGGGGGACGAGTCTTCTTGCAGGTTACGGAAAGGGGCGAGTGGTGACGAATGGTTCAATTTAACTTTAAGATCATTTCGCTAAAGTTTTTAAGAATGTTTCTCAGCGGGGATTCGTACAAAAGAATGTGTAATCAACTAACCCAGCAGTTGGTTCGACTCGAACGTATCTTGTTCTTCTCGGTCAGTACTGATAGGAATCCATATTGGATATAGTTCTACACACGTGACTGTCATGTGACGCCATACAACATCAGGCTTGATCCGGTGAAAATGTTGAAAGTGGTTCTGGGTTTTTTCTTCTGCAAATGAGTTGCATTTAATAGCCTCTTTCGAAGTTAATCCTCACTTTGCAGGAACTTAATGCGGCGGTATATTGCAGTACACGGGCTACAAGTGTAACCATGTATCACTACGCCTGTGGTATAAATGTAGAAAGCGTAGAAAGCCAATAGAATCCGAGTGACAAGCGACTGTAACTGTTGGATGAACTCTCACTTTAATACATGTGGGATGGAGTGAGGCAGAGTTATTCCGCTTCTCCGAGACATAATATTATTCACAGGTGTGGAATCTAAATTTAAAAGCGTCCGCCAGAAGCCAAATGTCCCATACGCATACCTACTGAGCTGGGACTGCTGTTTAGTGATCAAGTTGTTGGTTGGTTTGTTGTTTAACGCCGCACTCAGCAATATTTCAGCTATATGACGGCGGTCTGTAAATAATCGAGTCTGGACCAGACAATCCAGTGATTAATATCATGAGCATCGATCCACGCAATTGGGATCGATGACATGCATCAACCAAGTCAGCGAGCCTGACCACCCGATCCCGTTAGTCGCCTTTTACAACAAGCATAGTCACCTTTTACGGCAAGCATGGGTTGCTGAAGACCTATTCTACCCCGGAATCTTCACGGGTCTAGTGATCAGGTGTGCCCGACAGTAATAATATGTCAGTTGCTTTGAACATACATCTTTTGTTTGGAATGAATGTTGATGGTGCTGACACTAATTCATCCCATGATAAGTCTGTGAAGGGGAGTTATAGGAGTTGTATTTTTTTGGGCAACAAAGCCCCAAACACGTTTTATCCTGACTGTTATGACACTAACAATCATGATTATGTTAACATGACGGGTCTCGAATTGATGTTTCCTGAAAAAAGCCCGTGGCATTGTCAGGTGTGAAATGGTGCTACTTCGACATTTCCCAGGACCAAGATGTCTCCAATGTGCAGTAAACCACTGTGTCGAACTCGGATGTGTCGAATTAGCGGTTGTGTCGAAATGATTGTTGAAGCGATTTTATTCATTAATTATATTCTTCATTTGGGTTCTTACAAGTTGAATCGGATGTGTCGAACTTGCGTTTGTTTCGAACTTAATAAAAACTGACGGACACTCACATTGAATGTATAACAAGAACTGGTCCATACTGTGGTCTACTGTAGATCACGTACGACATGCCCTGTTGGTGTTTTGAATATCGTTGAGAACACTCGGATAAGTTGAACATTTTCTCAGGTCTCTACGAATTCGACACAATGGTTCAACTTTCAGTAGCGTAGACCAGATGTTCACAATGGCCGGAGAGTATAACCAGTTACTGGCTTGGCGATCAGGATAGAAGTCACCGTTTTGCGTGTCTGGTTGAGTTAGTGTGTGGTCCTACCCCGATGCCGTGGACGAGTTCTGCCAGCCATGGATGTCCTTGTTCACACACTTACTCGCTCATTAATGCGGCAAAAAGACTCACTCAGTCACAACTGAACAAACCAAGAAAACATTCATGTAGGTATCAAGCTTAAACCTACAAGAAACCACGTTTGTTAAACATAACAGAGTGAGTGAGTGAGTATGGTTTTACGCCGCTTTTAGCAATATTCCAGCAATATCGCAGCGGGGAACACCAGAAATGGGCTTTACACATTGTACCCATGTCGGGAATCGAGAACGGGATTTCGGCGTGACGAGCGAACGCTTTAACCACTAGGCTACCCGACCACCCCTTACACATACAAGAACTTTGCGAAATTTCATAAAATGACTGCCTGAAATTTGAGTTTTTATCATTGAAAATATTGGTAGAGCTCTTCATTATATACACGTCAAAATATCTTAATCCCAACAGACCGCCTCCGTGGTCTAGTGGTAGAGCGTCCGCCCGGAGATCGGAAGGTCCAGGGTTCGGTCCCCGGCCGCGTCATACAAAAAAACGTTAAAAGATGGTACTTGTTGTTACCCTGTCTGGCGCTCGGCATTAAGGGGTTAAAGCAAGGACTGGTCGGCTCGGAGTCAGTATACTGTGTCTGAGCGGGGTATTAATGTTCAACTGCGGCATGGTATCTCAGTGGGCTAGCACTATAAATCGGCATCAGTCCGTTCTAGTACAAGCAGCCACCCACCCACACACACACACACACACACACACACACACACACACGTGCATGCACGTCGCTATATAAGTGCAATAATCTTGGACGCGACGTTAAACCCAATTTCACCTCACCTCACCTCACCTCAATCCCAACATGTCGCTGTCTGGTTCATCTTTTTTTGTGCCGCCAAATGGTCATCATAAATAATTTCCACACGATGCTATATCTACATGGTAAAGGAAATGAGAGTGAGTTTTGTTTTATGCCGCTTTCGGTAATATTTCATCAATCACGGCGGAGGAGACCTTAAATAGGCATCACACACTGTACCAATGTTTGGATCGAACACGGACCTTTGATGTTGCGAGCGAAAGCTTTAACCGCTAGGCTAACCCAGGAACATTGTTGTCATGTCGAGACGGGTGACACACATGCAGCTATATGAGGTTCAGTATCGGTTGTACATCTCTCTTATATCTGGACCGCCTCCGTGGTCTAGTGGTAGAGCGTCCGCCAAAACCAAAAGACGTTAAAAGATGGTACTTGTTGTTACCCTGCCTGGCGCTCGGCATTAAGGGGCTAAAACAAGGACTGGTCGGCTCGGAGTCAGTATACTGTGTTTGAGTGGGGTATTCGTGTTAAACTGCGGCATGGTATCTCAGTGTGCTAGCACTATAAATCGGCATCAGTCCGGACTAGTACAAGCAGCCACACATATATACGTGCATGCACGTCGCTATATGAGTGCAATAATCTTGGACGCGACGTTAAACCAAAACTCACCTCACCTCACCTCACCTCACCTCACCTCTCATATCTTGGAAATAATACAAATTATCTTCTCCGTATCATTGCTTCATGGATTATGGTTAAAAATTAAACAGATCAAAGTTTATCCTGCAACCTGAAAATATAGAAAACTGCCAATAACAATTGTAGCTTTGTTCGAAAAATAAATCATCTCCACACAACGTAGGCCATAAGGGGATACGTTCATTAATCTGAGACGAACTTGACATTTAACCGACTATTTGTATTCTCATTACTTTAATTAGGTTTTTTTCAATATTAACATTACATATTTTTTACGGTTGCAATCATGATTACTTGTTGTGCGATATAGCGCCCTTTAGACAGATGTTCTATTATGAAATCGCAACGGGGTGTCCGGGATCGTATGTTGTCCAAGACAGAACTCGCCAAGGAATGGAAATGTTCTAGATGTTTCTGTTAAAACCCATTAAAACCATATCGACCATAACTCGAAATAGCTCAGGAAATATGCCACTTGTTCATAGAATTTGTTTGTAACATGGAAATACGCGGGAGCCCCGTTCACAAGGCAACAACACTTCTACGGCTTACGTTACTCCCACAGCTTAACATGAACTGACTACCAAAAGGAAGAACACCACGACTTTGAGAAACGATTGAAGCAAAGAGAAAGCATATCGGAAGTTGAAACATATATTTAATGAGAGTGGCGTTTCAGCATCACGTGAAATTCCACTCCATAAAGACAGAAACTTTATACAAATTAACAAGACACAATATATGGGGTCAAAATGAGATCATGT